TTATTTGAGTTCCTGGAGTAAAAATACCATAAAAAACGAACAAACAAAAAAACATTTTAGTTAATGCAATTTTAAAAACGGTCATATAAACAATAGCTAGAATTTTTTTTTTTACAAAGCGAAATAAAGTTATAAATAAATACCGTGATATATAGTCATGGATGTATAGACTATTAGAAAATGTTCAACATTGATTTTAAACAATTGACAAGATGTTAAGACCAATTAGTGGTTGTTAATATTATAATTATCATTTTATTAAAACACCATCTGTAAATATGTTTACAAGGTAAAAACGCATTAAAATAGTTTAAGATATAAAAGAGAGAATAAAATAAATCACTTTGAAAATCTTCAAGAGTATTTTTGAAAATTGTTCGCTGTTGCTTTGAATTCCAACATTCAACTACCTGTACTAGAATTTGATAAATACCTTCAGGGATTATATTTTCTGAAATTTCAATTTTCACTTTCTTCTTATCCTGAATTAGGTTTTTCATATTAAGTTTATGGATCTTACATAACTCCTTTATGTCATGTGTATCCCAAGTAAAGCCAAGATATGTCATTGTGTATCCCAAGTAAAGCCAAGATGGTTAAGTTTTTCATTTGCAATTATTTGATGGCCGTCTATGGTAATCTTGTAATTAGTTAATTGTTAATTGTCTTTTTCCAGAAAGCAGTAGTTCCATTTTGACAGCATTAAGCTTTATGCCGTTTAAGTTATTTTAAGTATTACACGTTGTAATCATCCTTTCAAGACCAGATAGAGTAGAGCTAAGAAGAATGCTAAAAGTTGTAAAAAAAGATTAATCAATTGGTCCAGAAACACTTTTAGAGAATTTCTAAACCAGTAAGTAATTATCCAAACTAGTAATTATCATTACTAAACTTAACTTGCTTGCGGTGATCACATTTTTACATATTTTAATTTTTTTTATAGAATATTTAATAAAAGCTTAAAAAATCATATTGAAATCCATAAGTTAAAAGACTCTTTAGATTCAGTTGATACTGAGTCTGAAATTAAATCTGAATACTGATTATTATCATTATTCAGTGATCAAAAAATTAAACACGTAAAATTTATTTGTAATTTGAGGAAAAGATGCTACTCCAAGTCCCTCTACTCCAGGTCCCTTTTCTCTAAGCCCTCTACTCCAGGTCCCTCTACTCCAGGCGCCTCTACTTCAGGTTCCTCTATGTTGACAATTATGAAAGTAGCAATTGTGTCTGTAAAAGTTACTTTTTATGCAGTTGAAAGCGTTGGCCTAAAGAGCGCTCACTGCTGCTAGCAAAAGGGGCATTTTTTTTTTTATTGACAATTTTATATAATATATGGATTTTTTTTGCATAATATAATTTACGTTAAAGTGTGTAAAAATCAAAGTTTATTTGTTCAAGAAAAAAAGCATTTTAATTATTTTTTGAGTTCATTACGAGAAAACTGCACAAATGGATCTACAGAAACAATGAAACTGCATAAATGGACCTAAAGAAACTATGAAACTGCATAAATGGACCTAAAGAAACAATGAAACTGCATAAATGGACCTAAAGAAACTATGAAACTGCATAAATGGACCTAAAGAAACAATGAAACTGCATAAATGGATCTAAAGGGTTTATGTATTAACTATAAGACTTAAATCATCTCTAAACTTTTTTTGTTATCTAAAAATAATGTTTTATAGAAGAAAACTTATCAAAAAATATCGTATTGTTGATCTTGTATCCCAAATGTAAAATATACTTTAATCGTTTTATCCTGCAATACAGAAGAGAATTCCAGCAACTTAGGCTTAATTTCCAGCAATGCACCATTTTAAAAGTTTTAGATATAATTAATACTGACTTATTAAGTTTAATTGGCTTAGCTCCATACACATAGTTTTTGGAGCTATGCCAAGTTTGAAAACAGTTTCAAGAATAATAATATTGCTATCTTATGCAACCAATTAAAATCAATGTATAAGATTAAGATTATCTTCAAAATGTTCTTCTTAATTTCTGCTCAGTTCTTTTGTTTTCTTCTGATATTGGAGATAAAGAGACCTTCAGTAAAATGCATTTGAGTGATTTTTATTTAATCAACGGCTTTATCATCTTTATTTGAAATACCCAATCTAGTGTAAAAACATGCATGTCCAAGAAAAATTAAAAAAAAAGTTATCTGTAATATAAAGGCTAATTCTGGCAACTATTTTATTTTTTTATGTACATTTCTATTGATGGGTCAATAATATAACTATCATCGAGTTTAGCGGAATCTTTTAAAAAACTCGTGCTTGGCTAAAAATTTCACTCTGAGTATTTCTTTATAAATCTGAGAAATGGAGTACAAAATCAAAATGCATTATTAAAAATATTAATTAGAGTTACCTTGTAAATTAAGCATATGACTTCAACAAAATTTTGTACTCTTTTACTTTGATCTTTTCTATTTAGCCAGAATCAAAAAAGCATTTGATTTGCAAATTGCGCGATAAGAAAAAAAGGAGAGAGACACTATCTTAGAAAGTGATCAAAATATTTGTCAATAAACCCCAAAAAAATAATCTAAAACAGAGGTTCCCAAACTTTTTGTGATGTAGACCCCTTGTCATGTTTTTTGGTTTTGGGTAGAGCCCTTTTACCTGATAGCGATTTTTTGTAAATTTCTAACTGTAGTGAAGTTTAGTGTTAAAAACCTAAAGTAAAAACATACTAAATTTGTTTTTACTTTAGGTTTTTAAAAAAATTTGCATTACGAGGCAAATTAAACTAAAGTTAATTTGCCTCGTAATGCAAATTAACCATATTATATTTTGTAAACAAATCTCTTAAGTAAGCGATGTTTATTTTCTACTTCATTAAATTGTCTTTTAAAATTTTTCCTTTTTTTTATACAGAAATTCTAAAATAGTCTCAAAAAGTGCAAAAAATCTTTTCAAACATAAGCCATTCAACAGCCAGCGTGCATCAGTGTGAAGAAGTAATTGATGAAAGTGTTAGTCATTTTTTTCACACAACTGTGCAAATAAAAGCGTATTCAATGCGTTGCTTCGAATTTGGTTTACAGCATTAATGACTAATTGAATAGATTTATGCAATCTAACACAAAAATTTTTAGCAACTAATTATTGTCGATGAATGACGCAATGTAATGTTAACACCCCTGACACATTTTGTTTTAAACAGCTTATAAATCCACGATAACGTCCAGCCATGGCACGTGCTCTATCTGTAGCTACTGATATTATATTTGATAAAGGGATTGCTTTTTGAATGAAGTAATCCTTCAAAGTTTGAATTATTGATTCACCTTTAGTGTCAGTTGTCAAAGTTCTTTTAAAGAGCAGCTTTTCTTAGATTTCTTGATTTATAATAAAACGAACATATGCCAATAATAATGCTTCATTACCAGGTAAAGTTGACTTGTCCAGTTTTATAGAGAAATGGGTCATTAGCAAATAGTTACAAAAGAAGCTATCAATATTAGAACTCATTTCATCAATACGTCTTTCAACAGTATTGTTACTTAAGGGAATTCTTTTAATGATGTCAGATGCAGGTTTGTGTAAAACAGCTTTTAAAACCTTTTCAACGGCTGGCAAAATTAACTTCTCTCCGATAGTATTCGGTTTTCCAGATTTTGCTATAAGTAGCGAGATATTGTCACCCGCAAACCACCATCGTTTCTTTGTGACGTCGAAGCAAACATTCTGTCCAGCGTGGGTCTCTTCTGAAGGATATCTTTGAGTGTTTGAAAGTATTTCAAACCTTTATCTGTTTTATCAGGGTGATATCTTCTCAGATGATCCTGCAGCTTAGATGGTTTCATAGCGCTATTGCCCAAAACTTTGTTGCATAAAAGGCAATTGTTTGTCCGACAATGATGAAATAAAGTCAAACTTCAAATAATCAATACTGTACTGTCTACATTTCTTTTTAGATTTGGCATCAGTCACCTGTGTTTAGTCATCTATGGGCAAATTAATCTACTTAACCATTTAATGCACACATTTTTTAAAAATGTACAGGTAAAAAAACATATTTTTTTATTATTGAAAAGTGTATAGGATGTTATTATTATGAAATAAAAACAGAGAAAAAACTATTTTTTAATATGGTTTACTTGTAAATAACAACTGATAAAATCCAGATATGAACTATAAAACGCGTTGAAGTAATACAAATATTTTGATTTATTACAAGAATATTTATAATAAAATATAAAAAATAGAATAAAAGAAAAAACTAAAAAGCTGTGTTGACTACGTTAAGCAATAAAATAAAAAACGAATTTATTAAGGAAGTGTAAAAATCTGTTTTGTTAACACTTTCTTATAAACACGATATATTTTATTACTCATTGCTGGCATCTCATTATACATTATAACACCATATATTTATTAGCAGTTAATTTACTGTATAATATGTATGATAAACGAGCTATTTTCAAGCATAAGCATTACAATAAGTTAAGTATGTTGAGACCCACTATCGTGGACCCCATTTTCATTTCATGGACCCCCCCAAATTTCTTTTTCGCTGACGTAGACCTTCTGCAGGTTGTCATAGACCCCTAGGAGTCGATATAGATCACTTTGGGAACCACTGATCTAAAGGAATTACCAATATTTCAAAAAAAAAAGTTTTTGTTTCAAAACGTGAATCAAATGATTTTATTTTTTTGGAGGAAGGATGAATTTTTTATTTTTCTGTTTTTTATTTTTTATTTTATTTTTACATTTTTACCCACTGCAAGACGTCATTAGAAAAATGCCTCATGTGGGGTACCAAAATATAATATCACAAGTGTGATATTTGATGTAATATTGATACTAATTATTAACTTTTTGAAATGATAATCTAATTGCCACTGATATTTCCGCAGCGATCGTCAAAATCTTTCGGCAATTCGAAAAAACTTTCTTTCTCGAGAAGTCCTTTTACCAAACGGGATCCTTTTTACAAAACGGGACCAGCAATTACACTTAATTACTAATTTTCCGATAGAATTTTATAAATCTTAAATGACTTTGCAGCACGCTTAACCTTATTCAAAAATTGTATAAAGAGTTTAAAAAGCATTTATTTTAAATTTTGAGATTAAACTTTTATCGATTTGTTTGATGATGAAAAAGTATACAAATGGCTATTGTTTTTTCGGGACAATTTGGTTGGTTTGTAGATCATTCCAAATCCATATCGTTATCAGTTATTGACTCCAATTACACGTGCGATCCAAAACTTTTTATTGTAAATAAGTATGGATTCAGAAAGTCTTCTCTTAATCTTTTTATTGACGAAAGCTTAAACAAGAAGCAACAGTGCTATGAATTATCTCTGGAGCACAAAAAAAAAGAAAAGAAGGTAAACATAAATTAAGGATAATTCTATGATCTAGAAAATTATAAAAATGCTGTTATTTGTTTCAGGTTCTGTTGATTTTCATTCAATTGAGAGAAATAATAAGATAAAAATTCCACAAAAATTTCAGCCTTCAACTGCAAGCAGTTCCTGAAATATGATTATTTGACATTTAGACCAAATCTGCAACATTTCCCTTTAGAAAAACCCTATTTTCCCCCTTAGAATAGCAACATTTATTCGAAGGTTTCAAATCAGATAACTTTAAAATGTTTGTCTAAATTTGGATATTTTCTGAGGTTAGGGTTCTAATCAAATCAGAAACTGCTTAAGTTATTTTTAAATATCACTACTTTAAAAAATTTATGTTTTTTTTTTTTTATTTATATGCAAGAAACCCATGTGACCTTGATGATATCAAAATACAAGTTGTTACACATCATTCTATATACAGTAATCTTTCCTTAAAACAAAGGGCAATTTACCTGCAGATGTATATATAAATTGTGTCCACTAATCTAAAGCATAAACTTAAATTTAGTTTTAAAACTCAATAAGAAAAAAATTAAGTTGTATAAAATGATAAGTAAAAAATAATTACAAAAATAAATATAAAAAAGTACAAAAGTTCAAATAAAAAACAATTATCGACAAGTTTTTTATTAAAATTTGGTTAGGTGCGTTAATAGTCAATTTATACATTCATTTAGTTGTTGTTACAGAGGTATCTATGATATAAATTATATTGGTATTTGAAACCTAAAACTCATCTGCTCTAGATAATTCTAAAGGTTTATTAAAAGAACCACGATTAAAACAAATCATATATACATGGAATAAAATCACTGACTTGTAATGTATCAATTTTAATTTGTTAATTAGATTGAGTTTTTTGAATACTAGTTAAAAAAAATGGTCCTGATATGTTTATATCTTTACTAGTTTGTTTAGGTTATATTGATAATAGCTCAAAGTAGAAGCTCTTTAATCTTGTTTAAACAGAAGTCAAACATTTAGTTACAATTAATACTTGGTTATTTATGTGCCTCAGACTTTGAGAATTGTATTTGCAGGCAATTGTTTTACAATTTCATCTATACCATCACGTTGCTAATGATACAAATTTAAGTCTCTAAGTCTGAGGCCCATAAATGGCATTAACATGTACCCATCAATGATAGGTACATGTGCAAAGGGCATAAGTCCCTGATGATGTAATAGTTATATACCACTTTGTTCTTAAAATACAGAATTTAGAATACTCATTGAGTTCTCAAGAATATTTAGTTTTAAAAGAAGCAAGCAATTTCTAAGATTATATAAAATCAGGTGATTTTACATGTGCTGATTTCTACCATGTGTTTTACATGTGCTGATTTCTACAATGTGCTTTACATGTGCTGATTTCTACCAAAAGTTACAAAATCTTTTTTACTAAACATTTGCCTAGAAAATTGAGATTTGTATTCAGGGATGTTTACATATGTGGAAGCGTTTTTTCTTGATCAAGACTTAAGTGTTAATAAAATATTTAATATTGATTGATTTTTACAATATGTTTTTTTTTGTGCAGATTGTGATGTGATGTGAAATGATGAAATGTGAATGAAATGTGAATGAAATGTGAAAATTTGTTACTTTTAACATGGTTGTTTAACTGAAATGAAGTTGTTAATGTTAATCACATTTTATTACAACACTATAACAAAGATGAGTTTTTTAGGTAATAAATCAATGGAATGTTATGACTGGTTTTTGTTACTACTAACAGGGTGTTTGCCAAGGAATATATTTTTTACTGTGTTTTTGATAGGCTGAGAATATATATTTTTATTGTTCTACAAAATATTGGGAATTTTTTTTTGATATTGTCCTATTATGTCACAAAAAAAAAGGTTATTTAACCTTAAAGTTGATTAAGGTGCCCCAAGAAGTCCTTACGGTCTTATCGCAGAAAAAACAAAGCAGAAAAGCATTTAATAGGAAGTTCACACCTCCTTCCCAACCGATGTCGCAAAACTTGCCCAGAGGTGGGGTCTGAACCACGGATCTTACGTTTCTAAGGCAAGTGCGCTACCACTGCGCCACGGTTGCTCATTTTTTTTTGCTATTTGCTATTTAATTTGACTTTTTGCTAATTGCTATTTAATTTGACAAATATTTATACAAGATGAATTACTTCAGAAATTATTACAATTTTTTTTTTTTTTTTTTACTTGACTCCGCTAGCGAAGGCCATTATTTTTATCAAAGTTGAAGTGTTCTTTAACGTTCCTGTAACATTTTTTTAAAATTTTAACCATTATCATGGTGAACAAATGTGGAGTTGTAAATTGTAAAGGAAATTATGATAAACTTAATAAGTGTCGTATTTTTATATTACCGAAAGATGAAATTGAGAAACAGAAATGGATTAATGTTCTTCCTTTACGTAAAAATTTTATTATTGAGCCATCTAAATTTTTTATATGTGAAAAACATTGGCCAGAAAATACAGAAATGATTAAGCTAGCTGGTGGCTATACTCGACCAGCATGTGCACCTTGTATTTTTAATGTTCCTTTTTTTTGTTTACCAACGCCAAAGCCTGTGCCTCGCCAATCTAAACCTGAGGACAAGAAATTGAATTATTTCATCAAAAAAGATAGAACAAATTTGTTTTCTGATTTTTATCCTGACAATGAGTTGCACAAAAAGTATAAAAATATAGTAATATCTCGACAAGACAATAAATTCATATGCATTTTTATGTCAAAAGATTTCAAAGAGAGTTTTGTGATGATTATTGTTTATGATAAGTGTACCTTGTGTTCACCGCTAACCTTTTCAGCTTTTAAACATGGAATTTCCGTTCCATTAGCTAATATATGGCTTAATCTTCTATTCACAATTTTTTGAAGTAATCAATTTAGTTCATAATTATAATCTGCATGTTAATGATGTTATTGAAAAGGTGACAAATACTCTTTCAGAAAATGAATTTGAATTAAATGATGATAAGAAACAAAAAAAAAAATTGAATTTTATTACAAGACTCAAAACTCTTGTCTAAAAAAAGTTTCTTTTTATAACTGCAACTGCAATCAACTTTGTGATTTTTTAGTCCTTCCAAGTAAATGAAAGCTTCAGTCTATAATTTCTGCCACTAACATTGACCATGTTTTACAAAAAACATTTGAAAACGTAAAGAATAATCAACAGAAAAATGTTATTTTGATAGTTGACGAGGTAAAAATTAAGCCAACAGTTGCTTATTTGTGTGGAGTTTTAAATGGGATGGCAAGAAATGATCCAGAATCCAAAGCAACCTCTATACTATGTTTCATGATGAAATGCTTACATGGTGGACCTAGTTTAATGATTTCTTTTACCCCTGTTCATAAACTAACATCATTGTATCAGTTCATTGTTGTGAAAGAAGCTGCTATTATAGTTAAAAAACATGGTGCAATAGTTTTAGGATCTGTAACTGATAATTATAAAATCAATCAGCAATACTGCAAAATTTTTAACAGAATAACTCACTATTAGGCCATTCATCCAGTAGACAATCAGCGTGTTTGGTTTCTTTTATTTGACACAGTTCATCTACTTAAATGTATTCGCAATAACTGGATTTCTAAAAAGTGTCAAAAGCTATCTCTCAATAATAAAACCATAGCTTCATTTTCAGATGTGAAAAGTCTATATCAATACAAGAAAGATAACATTTTGAAAACAGTTCCTTTATCTTATGCTGCTGTCTATCCTTCGAGACTTCAACTACAGAATGTGCAGCATGTTTTAAGAGTGTTTAATGAGAAAGTAGTAGCTTCCCTTAAACTAAAAGAAGCTTATGAAACATCCTCTTTTATCCAGCAGATTTTAGATTGGTGGAATATTGTTAATGTTTCTGCAAAAGGGCAGGATGTTAGGTTGAGAGATCACAACCGATCTGATAAAAATACAAATAATTTTCAATTGTTTTTAGATATATTTAAATGTACGGAATCAGGACATGGGCCTAAACGAGTTCAGTGCGTTACCCATGATACCAAAAAAGCCCTTGTGCAAACTACAGAAGGATTGATAGCCGTCTGCAAACAATTGTTTTCAGTTGGTTTTGATTATGTTTTGCTTCGTGAGCTACAAAGTGATAGAATAGAAGGAGAATTTTTTGTTTATAGACAATCAACAGGGGCAAATGCTTTTATGGCAGCTGGTGATGTTTTCTCTGCTTTTAAAAAGTGTTTAGCTAGATTTGCTGTATCATTTTTAGAATCAGTGGAAGTAGGACAACCCAATAAAAAAAGGTCACATATGTGAGGGTCCAATTAGTATTGAAGGTGCAACCTCAATTGAAACATGCATTTATGATGTGAGTCTTTCTGAAACTGAAGAGAGCTCTGCTGCCTATGTAGCAGGATGGCTTGATCCGGATGATGAACCTGAACTAACAAATGAAGCTAAAGACTTTATCGAAGAAGTTTCAAGGGGATATTTGACAGTTTCACATGAGTGTACTTATCAGCTAGTTAGAATTGGTTTATGCTTTGTGAAAAAAACAAAGCACAGAGCATGTTGTAGAAAAAAACTTATAAACATTCTATCTATAATGGACACATAATATGATTATGGTTTATCATCAAAGAGTCTTTTTAGGCGTTTGGCAAATGTTCTTCTGCATGGAATTCAGAATTTGGATAAAGACCAAATAAAAATTGTATGTCTTTATCAAACATCAACTAAGAAGGCACACCTTGCTGAGTAGTCAATCTTTCTTTTTAGACTTTTTACTTGGCAAATATAGAAACTTTTTAACAATGTTAAAACTTTTTTTTTTAAACATAATGAACTTAATATAATTTTGTAAAGAAATAAACAATACAATATTTGTCAAGTAAAAAATCTAAAAAGAAGTTATTAATAGTAATAATACTTATAATAACTTCTGAAGGCTTTGAGAACCTATCTATGTAGAACTGTCAAATATTCCCTTGAAACTTCTTCGATAAAGTCTTTAG